CCCCCTCATCACAGCGGTAAAAATAGTACCCGGCGTCTCTCTCGGGTTGAAAACACACGCCTCGGGAGAAGAGAGAACAAACTCTTTGGGTGTAGCGAATAAGAAGGGAGGATAAGTGCAGCCAGGAATAAGTGCAAGATAAGTGTGACTCGACTCTTGGCAGAGTGTGACTAACCCTTTTCACTACCCCAGCTCCATTTACCTCTTGTTTTTTCTTTCCACTGTTTTTTTTCCGGCCGACAACACGCCAGTGTATCACTATGAATCTTTTCCGCGGTGATATTAGGTCGCACGTGTTCGTTTCGCGTTGTTCGAACGATTTTTCTTGTTTTCACGAATCAAGACAATCAATTTTCTTCGACGAACAAGACATTTTTATAATGTCGTGGAATACAAGTCACCAAATTTAAGACATTTTTCCTGTTTCAATTCAAGACACTTGAGGACTATAGTTTTTTTTTTGGACAAAATATTCTTTCCTCGTCAATGTATTCTTTCTATGGAATAAACCTATGGAGTATGGAATAGATTATATTTTTTCACTGCCAACAGTTCGATTTCTGGTGATCACGAGAAAAATTTAATTTTTGTGAAAGATATTAAATTTCTGTCTATCAATTTGATTAATTACCCTCAAGTAAATCTGTTCCACTCCATCAAATATTCTCACATGAACTTTGTAAAAATTAATTGTCAAAAATATCGACAATTCCCACATGAAATTTACGGTGAAATGTTCTATCGTACCCACGACAATACAGTTAGCCTTCGACAATTTCATTCGCCGATCACGCGCTGACGTAATTATATTGCCAGGTGAGAGGACTCGGCAATTATTGTTGATGGAAACGTGATGTGGGTGAGACAAAGGAAAAGAGATGAACAATCATTAACTCATCATTGTGTATGAACCCCCTAACGATTGCCCACTTCGTCGAGTTACGATCGACTCGGCTAACGATCCACGATCTTTATCACGTGATCATTAATCTCAGTCCCGTCTTACTCCCCGTAACCGTCAAATTGATCCTAATCAATGAAAATTTCAATTCAATGACTTTTATTTTTCAACTACTCATTTCAGATCTACACCGACTGGGCGAATCATTATCTCGAACGTGGTGGCTCCAAGAGGCGGGTCAGTGACCTTCAGGCCGACCTCTGCGACGGTGTCCTGCTGGCAGATCTTGTCGAGGCTGTCAGTAAGTAGGCAATTAGTCATTTAGAATTTCCCCACTGTCGGAAGATTTGTTAGATGGTATCCTCTGTTTAAAAATTACAAAATAGGTGAAACATGTTTGCCATGCTAGTGCGAGACTTAGGAATATTTTAAGGATATCCAAGTGTTTTTTACAGTTTGGTACAGATCACACAATAGATTTAACCATTAAATTTTCAATCATTAAATTTGTCAATTAAATTGCGTGAGAAAAATTTGACAAAAAAATTATGAGTATTCAGCGTTATTAAAATTACACTTTGCACAGAATTATTTTTTTAAAGACTCGTTGTTTATAAATAAATAATTGAAATTGTTTAAGCTTGATAAACATGACAAAAATTTCCTCCAAACGCGATCTTTCTAATTTTTCTTAGATTTTAGAAATGTTTTCCGATGATTTAATATCGAGATTCAAATTCAGATCTGCAAAGTTTAAATAATAAAATCATTGTGAAATGTCCAGAAATCGCAAAAAAATGGCCAAAGTATATTTGGATATCCTTATCTTTATTTTAGTTTGAAAAATTACTTTCTCAAGATCAAATAAATCAATACAGATATGTTTTTTTGATAAAGAATTATGATTTCCTCCCTGGTGAAAGACTTTTCACCCGCTCATCACAAAGCAAAGTACATTTATTAAATTTCCCTCGTGTTAATAAACACTCGGTTATTGAGTAACAGTATAATACGAACGGTTAGGTACGTTCAATTATGGGCACTGGACAGTTAACCGAGTAATGCATGGTGACAAAAAAGAGAGAAATTATGAATGTGGGGAAGAGGCATGAGGCACGAGCTGAAGTGGTGACATGGGTCACGCGTCAGTGGGTTGCGAGTACATGGGGAATTTGATATATCTCGGTTGTGCATCTTTCTGTTTTGAAGAGTTGCAATCTGCTTTGCATCTCCCTTTCGCGGTTTTAGTTGTCTCGGAGTTTCTTGCAATTCTCAGGATTCCCCATTTTTTGCTTTAAACACAAAATAATATTTGAATATTTTATTGAATTGACCCATCGATTGATATTCAATAAACGATTCAGCGAATAACTCAATGCTTATCCACTTCATTCACTGCGCGATTCACGCATCAGTCAGCTGATTCATTTATCGTTATTCCTAGTTATCTGCTGCATGTCAATGAAATAATCATGAAAGTGAGAAATCTTAATTCTTGAATTTATTCATTGCAAAATATCTTGAAGACTTGCAATCTGGTTTAAATCCCAATTTTGCAGTTCTTTTTATCTTTTTCTTCCTTGAAATTCTCAACATGAAATCTAAAATCTTTTCTCTTTAATCATTAATTAATCCCACCTGATTGCACCTCACTTTCTCTTCTAAAAACAATAATAATTGAAGACTTTATTGAATTGAGTCAGCAAGTGATATTCAATAAACTCAGCTGATTCATTTATCGTTATTTTATCGTTATTTTATTAACTGCAAATAGCGCCCTCTCTTAACGGTACCCCACGTCTATAAAATTTATTTGAATGATAATAAACCATTGAGCCGCATGCACCACTCGACAACTGGGCATTTAAAATATTCACCTCACGTTGTTTCTCCTTTTTAGCCAATCAAAAGGTGATAGACATCAACCGGAAGCCGAAGAACGCCCAACAAATGGTGAGTCCTATCAATTCATTGAAAACATTAAATTCTCCGAATCAATAATATTATAACGATAAAAAAAACAAGGGAGTAGAGCAAACATATCGGTTTCATTAAGATGACCCAGAGATAAGGATTCCTCGAGTAGGCAAACATGAATGGGCCGCTCCTTTATGGATTCCCGATGTATCTCCGGGAAACGGGCCACGTCATATCCGGACACTTCTCGCTGTTAATTTGCATAAGCCCGAATGAAACGTCTCTCTATTATCACTTCTTCTCTTTCTTAAAGTTCATTTTTTATTTGTTTTATGCGTGCGCACATGTTTCTTGGAAAAATGTATTCTCTCATTCCTGTTGCCAAATGTTTATTTTGGTGCTGTGGATCCATTCGCTCAATCGCTTTATCTCGCTCTCTGTCAATTATCAACACTCGAATCATCCACATTGATGTACAGCGTTCGGTGCAATCGACCGATCGATCGCTTCAATATTGACGCTGCGCTCAATTTCATTCTGTATAACGCCCTTTCTGTGTACACAACGAGGTATTTCAATCAATCCCACTGGCTCTGCGATGTATCATCATCGCTTTGGGTATGTGGACTAATTGAGGAGCTGTTAATGAGGGACTTTTGATGGGTTTTGACGGTGGATATGCTTTGGAGTGTGAAAGATGCTCTTGTTGATTTTCATTCGAATTTAAATGTGAATTAATGAACTAATTTTTTTTACTGCAGTAAGAATGCAATGATTTTGTATGAATTCCAAACATTCATATTCAGTTAAACAAATACAAGACATAGGATTAGATTTAGGGAAGTTACAAGAGTTAATATTTCTTAAGTTTCCAACTCGATACATTTATAGCTTAAGTAATTAATAATAGTTAGAGTTTAGACTTTCAAGTTTGAAGAATTTAGGAATTCATCTGTGATTAGTATTACTTCTTTATCTGGGGTGTAGAGAAAAACATTAACATTTCGTCCACAAGTAAATTGATTCAACACGACAAAAGATCTGTCCAGGGATCAATATACAATCTCACAAAATGATTGTAAAAATACTGGACAATAGTGAGCTCATTTCCTTATCCGATTTTTCTCCCATAATTTCTCAATTCACATTCCATCTTCATGAGGACCCCATAAAAACCTATTCCTCCCATCTAGAGTATAACTCACCCAACAAACTCACTTCACAAAGGAAAACATGTTTTCCTCGTGTAGCCTGAAACTTGCAGCTTGTTTCTTGTAGCTACACGTTGTACTGAAAAACCAAGACAGGTTATACAACAGACACACGATGAATGAGAATTATAATTAAAGAACAATATTTGAGAATGAAATTGACAAAAGTGAGTCTTGTATATCCGGAAGCCGAGCAAAATGCCTTTTCGAAAACCGGGACACGACCCAATCTATTTCTATTTCATGAACCACCTCTGTCTCCAACTGTATATGTATTTTGATGACTCATTCGTATTAGTCAAGCACACCTAACGACTTTCCACGATTATCTATAAATAAATATATCCCTCTTCGCCCATTTCCAAGTGCAACCCCCCGTTGATACCCCAAACGAATAAATTATTAAGACACCAGTATAATTTGATTTGATGTAATTTTACGGTGGAATTTAGCGCTTGTAGTTTCCCTCAACAACAAGAGGAAACTACTTTCTTTATTTCCTTTTTACTTTGCGCCATGGCCAGAGCTGACTACAGGTGGTCTTGTCGGCATTTCCTGTAGGCTCTTTACAGATGAAAACGGGAGGGAGAGAGGAGAGCAAAACGTGCCTTAAAAATCTCCACAGAACTCCCACAATTTTATAGGTGTCTCACGGCTTCTCAAAAGCTTTTTCCTTTTACCCAAGACTCGCATAATAGTTTGCTTTGACGGGAGAAAAAAATTGAGGGAACACTGTTGAAAATTTTCGTCTGAATTTTCCGTGCCAAATCCTGGAAATTTTTTTTGTGTTTGATTTTCACTGAAAGTTCAGGAAATATTGACAGTGAAAAATCAAATATTTCATTAATTTCTGGTTGACATTATCTGAAAATCAATAAAATACTTGATTTTTCAGTTAAATTATTCCGGAATATTGAAAATTCATGTCATTTTGTTTCTGAATATTCATGTTTCTTCATAATCTCGCGAAAAATAACAACGAAATTTTCCACAGACCTCCCACAATTTTGTAGGTGTTTCCCTACCTCTCAAAAGCTGTTCCCTTCTACCTGAGACTCGCACAATAGCTTTGCTTGAGAGAAAAAAAACGAGGAAAAGTGGAAATTTACTGAAATCGTGTTGATGCAATATTTTTCATTTTCCATTCAATAAAAATGTGATCAATTTGTTTGAGTCGATATGCATCAAGAAGTATCTTCATATCTCAAGACATCGACTGGGAACGACTGTTTACCGTTCAATTAAACATTGTCTCAACAGACATTCCGCCACAAAGAAATGAATGGGAAATACTCCCATTGTTCCTTCATAATCTCGCGAAAAATCCCAACATCAATTGATATTCAAATAACAATATTTGACGTTCTCCATTGAATGGAATTGATGTCTACGATTGGAGCCACCCACGTGGACATTATCCCCCCACCAAAATATATATCTTCTCACCAATAAAACCAAGTACCAATCGGGATTTATAATCCAATCGATTGAGACTTGGCAATCTACTGGGATCAAGTGGTTGAGAGCATAACGGTTCAATGAAGACGTTGTGAACTGTATGATGCTTTTTCCACGATCCCCCGTGACCCCGTCGGTATCGCCAAAGTAGCAGACGCATCATTTTCTGGTTATTATTTCCTTTTTTTTCACGTTCACTTTCTCATTTTCCATTCTTTTTTATCCATGGTGAACGTCGACTTGAGCTATTGATCAACAAAGTTAATTACTAGTGGTTATCTGCAGGGTCTCGTGACTAGAATACCGCGAATGCCGAAGGTAAATGAAGAAAATATGGAGAAATAGGGTTTTCCTTTGAATCAAGAAAAATTGAGAAATTTATATACATTATTTTTTTATATGCATTATTAATTATTTTATATATATGCATCCTTATGACATTAAAATGAGAAATGCATATATTTATCGGAATGAACGTATAATAGTTATGGGAAATTAATGATTTGTTCATTCAAAAAAAAGTTGGAAAACATTTTAAAAGTCTGAAAAGAAAAATTAGAAAGTTTCCGTTTGGAGGAAGATTGATAAATTGATTAAAAAATTGCAATTTTTGAAAACCACGAGTATTTTCTATAAATGCTTTATAAGCAATAAATTTCTCATCAAATTTATTCATTAGCAGAATTTGACCAGGAATCGATTTAATGTTTGAAGCAATAAGGTTTCCGAAAGATGAAGCAACTTCAATTATTCTTTTATACACAGCGAATGTTTGAAAAAATAATAATTCTTGTAAATTTTTCTCATGCAATTCAATTGACAAATTTGTTGACTGAAAATGGCGGAATCTACCGGGTGGTCTCCACCAAACTGTAAAAAATACTCAGGCATCCTTAATTTAAAAAAAAAACTTGTCTCCCCGAAAAAATTTGCAGTATTTACACCTTTTTTTTTAAGTGAAAGGTCGTCTCCATTGTTCCTGAGGGATATCTTTCACGTCATTGTTACCTTTCTTCGTCCTTTTAAAAAGTCGTAAAAGGTCCGACCTTCATACCGGGAGTCACCAGGACTCCAGCAGCATCCACGTGGTTCCTCTACCTGGAATTTCCCCGGCACTGGCATTCGCCTGTTCTGGCCACGCGTTTTACCGTCTCGTGCAGTGCCACCACTACAGCATTGAACTCCCACTACAATGCCTTTTATTCATTCTCTCTCTCTCTCTCTCTCTCTCTCTCTCTCTCTCTCTC